GCATATAGTCAAGTGTCTCTAAAACCTCAAGTATGTTTTCTATTCTCATGACTCCCTTTTGCCCCCTCCTGAGATCATTCTCTTGGAGCTCCTTGTCTTCCTGGATGCCTGGCAAGCTTCCTTTTAGGAGAAATACGGGAAACCAGTCTTTATGCCAGGGGAACCCGAAACGTCAGAATGAGAGGACTTTACTCTGGGGGAGTAAGTTTTGTAGTTTAAACCACATCGTTCCATTGTTTTAGAGAAGAATACTCATTTTTTTTCCTCCCTGAGGGAAGTAGAAGGTGAACTCCTGGATGTTCTGTTTGTTAGAGCAGGGAGAACAAATGTCTTCACAGAAAGGCATACTCTGCTTTATTGTATTTCACTTTATTGCACTTTCCAGATACTCTGTTACCATCCACATGGGGGTAAGAGCTCCACCAGCAACAAGATTATGACTTGCTGAAGGCTCAGATGATGGTTAGCGTTTTTAACAATAAAGTATTTTTTAATTAAGGTAGATGCGTTGTTTCTTTTAGACATTTACTAGACTATGCCATAATGTAAACCTAACTTTTTTTTAAAGGTTTTTATTGGGGAATTGGGGAGGGGAACATTGTGTTTTTCCAGCATCCATCAGTTCCAAGTCAACTTGTTGTCCTTCCATCTTAGTTGTGGAGGGTGCAAGCTCAGCTCTAAGCCCAGTCGTCGCTTTCAATCTAGTTGCAGGGTGGCGGGGTGGGGGGGGTGTAGTCCACCATTCCATGTGGGAGTTGAACCGGCAACCTTGTTGCACACTGAGCTGTCTGGCTGCCCATCGGCAGCTCACAGCTGCCCAGCTCAAGGTTCCGTGTTCAATCTTAGTTGCAGGGGGAGGCAGAGAGGGGGCGCGCAGCCACCATTCCATATGGGTGTCGAGCCATCAACCTTGCTGCTAAGAACACGTGCTCTCACCAGCTCAGCGGCAGCTCAGCTCGGGCACAGCTCACTGGCCCATGTGGCAATCGAACCGGTGACCCTGTTGCTCAGAGCTCTCGCTCTTAACCAACTGAGCCACCTGGCCGGCCCCCAAACCTAACTTTTATGTGCACTGGGAAACTAAAAGTTAGTGTGACTCGTTTTATTGTGACATTTGCTTTATTGCGATGGTCTGGAGCCGAACCCACAATATCTTGGAGGTGTGCCTGTATAGACTTTTTAGTTAAGACCCCAGTGTTCAGCCCTACTTCTCGCATCACCCCTTGCTTTACTTGATTTTAGCATCTAGAACCTTGTGGCTCCCTAGCAAGATTGCTTCTTCTGTGACTGTGTGCTCCCAGAGTGGTTTTTTGACCAGTACCCTTGCGTTACTGGTTGTAATACATTAGGGAGTCATGAAGTCAAGAAATCAATGTAGTGGGTTCAAGACAGTCATTTAAAAAATAGATTAGAGGAGAAAATATCAGAGTGTCCTGTACATAGCATGGGTAAATATTGTTTCATAAAATTTGTTTTAATTATATCAAGACACAGACATATATGTAGATGTGCACTGGCCCTCCATTTGAAATGTCCTTTTTATCTGCAGGTTGAAGTAAAAGAAGTTAGAAAAAAACTTGTTTTAGGCCATCGCTTCCTCTCCGCTGCTGCAATGATCAACATTCCTCAGTCCGCTTTGAATCTCTTAGAGATTCGTGGAAATGTCTTTTGTGTGTTTATTAGTGGGCACCATATTTAATATCCTGTATAGCACAGGTATTGACTGATCAGGAGGGATGTGGGCCAGAGGTCTCTAGCTCTGCCAATGTCAACTCCTTATTCATGGGATTGAGGGGATGTCTTAGCGGGCCCTGTGGAGGCGGTAAGAAGGGATACTAAGGAGCTTGGGGCAGTAGCTGTTTATCAGAACAGAGCATTTCAATATTTTAATTATTAGTGTGGCTATACTATTGTGTAACAGCCAGATGTCAATTCTGGATTTATGTGTTTTTTTTTATTCCTTACTTATAATTTTAGGGGCATCTTTGCAGGAAAGGGAGATTATATATAAAGATGCCCAAAGAACCATTTTAAATCAGAGATCCTACAGTTTTCATTTTTAAACTAATTTTCTCTCAAACATTGTAGTTTACCCTTTTAAAAGAAATTAATTATGTTATAATAGATCTGATGTTCACAGGTGATAGGGAAACTTTTTGTTTCTGGGAGGGGTTGAAGAGAGGAGAAAATCCTAATTGAAATGAAGGGAGAAAGATTTTTTCCTGAAACACTTGGGTAAAAGAGAAAAAAAAAGAAGAGTTAAAGAAGCTATGTATTTGTAGGCTAAGAGGTAGTCCAACGTGGAAATAACTGTGAATGATGAAATTACAGGAAAAGGTGGACACCAACTTTGAAAGGAGGAAGTGAGGACGAGAGAATAGTAGAAAGAGAGAACCAGCAGATTACACTGTGTGTGTGTGTGTGTGTGTGTGTGTGTGTGTGTGATGAGGGATTGAAGTTTCCTCTGCTTCTCCTCTACAAGCCCACTATCCATGGCTTTGCTTCTTTCTCGGTGGGGCTGTCATGCAGAGTTGCTTCAGTCTGTTCCTTTGTGTCTGTGTGTCTTCGTGAGCCTATGTGTTCACACCCCGGCGCTGGGGAAAAGGGAAGGAGATGGAGGAAGGGGAAGTACAGGTCTCTGTAGCTCCATGCTTGCAATATGTTTGTAACTTGCAGGAGACTTATACAGTAAGATCGAAGTACTGATTGAACACTGGTAATGACTCATTACTCATTTCCTTAAGTTAGTGATGGCTGAGGGTTACTCAAGTTCTAGACCTGGTACAGCGCAGTCTTACCTGTTTGTTCATTACCTTTCTGTTATGTTTAGGGAAAAGGAGCCCATATGTACATAGGCTTCCAGCTCGCCTTTTGCTGCCTCTCGCTTCCTTGCTTCAGAGGGGAAAGAAGGAAGGACCTCAGCTCGAAGCCAGACCCCGCAGTGTCACCTACCTGGCAGCGCTCAGAGCAGTAATTAGATGTAGCAGCCCCCAGGTCTCCTGGAATGCTGGGCTGTCCTCTTCTGAACAGGAGGGAGCCTGTGCTTTTCTCAGCAGGTGCCAGCAGCATCGTGACAGGGTGACAGCCTAGCTGGGGAGCAAGCTGCCCCTGAAAGAGAAGAAGGCTTCCCTTTTTCACGAGGCTGACTGAGTAGACTTGTGGTTCTTCTCAGCCCCACCAGATGTGTCCAGCTGTTTCACTTTCTAGTCCGTCCCAACCAAACATACTTAAAGTTCAAACCAACACTTACATCATCAAAACAAAAATGTTTACAATGTGAAGCCTTAGGCTTTTAGTAATTTAAGTCATTAGTCTAGTGACAAACGGAGTGCTCTTCCATGGCATCGTGTCTGGGAAAATCCAGGCCCGAGATGGATTTTGCCTAGTCTTTCCTGTGACCACAGGATTTGAAGGATCTACATCACTGATTGGTTAATGGGGACACGTGCTTTACCCCAGCTGCTGCTTTTCCTCTCTTTCTCATGGACGCCTTGTCCCACCAAATAGCTCATTCACCAGCCCCAACTGGAATAAACTGAATAGACCTGAGTTTTTTCAAAGCTCTGTTACTGTTTTTGATGAGACACTGTGCGGTGGTGTTTTGGTGGCTTGACAACTTAGCGTTCATACTGACCTGTCATGGTGTCATTTCTTCCTCTTATTCAGAGCCCCTCATTTGGAGCAGTCTTTGGGTTTTTTTGCACCGTATCAGTGTGAGTATAACTCAAGTCAACCATTTTCCTAAGTCGATAGCGTCATAGTTTGGAAAAACTTTGTTTGGTTTAGGTGGCTTTAATGCGCCACAGTCCATAAAATTTAAGGTTACACTGGAGAGCAGATTTCCTTCCAATGGGTCCGTTTGCTGCTAAAATGCAACAATTTTAGTAGCAATTTAGCATTTTCCAGAATTAGTTGGTATATCTTCTTTATATTCTTCATAATTTATTAGTCTTACTTAGCTAATGATTTGAGTTCTGTCCCTGAGGGAATGATTAAATCTGGGTGAAGCTTATTATTTTAAAGTATACATTACATGCAGCAGAAGAGAACTGTCATAGAAAATAAAGGGGTGGGCCAGGAGGGTGAAAACCAGCAGTTGTGTTCAGGAGTCCCCAGAGGTCTTGACTCATGTTATTGAAGAAATAATGAGTTTATGATTAGTTATTCTTATTATTCTTGTTATTCTTAGGCACTAGTAATTATTAAAACATTTAACCTGAATAGTACAGTTTTAATCATTATGAGATACAGCATAAAATATTGAAATGGCAACTAGAATAAGTTGAGTGTCTTTTTCCCTGTCATCATCATAATTTATATTTCAAAAGGTAATATAAATTTTGTTTCAGTTTTGTGTGGTCAGATTTTTACAAGCGTTTTTTTTTTTTCTCTTAGCCCTGTGTGGCAGAGATCCTATGGTACAGATTAGGAAAGTGAGGCTCAAAAGAGGTTGCCCGTCTTTCCTTCTCATGTTAGGAAGCTCCCACTGTGTGCTGGACAGGCTCTTAATTGTTTAATTTTGCTGAACTGACAAAGCTTGGCATTTCTTACATAATCCCCTTCCTGTATTTCATTCCCCTTTTCTTCTCTTCCCATTTTCAATGCCGCCTACTTATTTTATCAGTGTATATAAAATACACCTTTTTAATATATGTATCTGTTCCTGTAGATGTCTGTGTTTTTCTTAAATATAAATGATTGCATGAAGGCTTATGGGAGCTGTGCCCTGAATCCTCTGTTAGAATCCACCTGTGGTGGCCTGTTTATCCTTCGTCTTCTTGGCTAGACAGGCAGAGTCCCTTTTATGTTGGAGGTTTCCAAGGGTAAGCTGTTAGTTCCTTATGTATTATAAATGATCGGCTAGAGAGTATATGAAGGAAAAATTGAGCCTGGTATGGAATTTATCTTCCTAAGTTTAACGAACTTCTTACTCTTTCCTTCTTAGTTGACGTTTAAGTGTCCATGATTTATTTCCTTATCCTCGCTTTGTGTCTCCCCAGAGTGACACCCCTTTCCTCACAGAATGTGATGATCCACCATGGCCAGACCCAGGAATATGTGCTCAAGCCCAAGTACTTCACAGCCCAGAAGGTGATTTCAGGAGAACAGTCCACCGAAGGTTCGTTCCCCTTAAGATATGGGCAAGATCAAGTTGTCGCACCTTTTCAGTGTGAGTATAGTCCAGTCAATCATTTTTCTAAGTTATAGTGTCATAGTTTGGAACCTCTTCTTTTGGGGGGTGGTGGTGGTAGATGGCTTTAGTGTGTCAGAGTAGATAAAATTTAAGAATCGTTAAAAATACACATTGGGGGGGCTGGCCGAGTGGCTCAGTTATTTAAGAGCTCACTCAAGAGTGCAAGCTCTGAGCAACAGGGTCGCTGGTTCGATTCCCAGCCCGAGCTGAGCTCTGCTGAGCTGCCAACAGGAGGCAGAATGGCTCAGCTCAAAACAAAACACATATTGGTTCCTAAAACAATGAGACAGCCGCATGGTTTCCTTATCCTGAGGAAAGGCAGTTTTCTTGGATGCTGGAAAAGAATCTGAAGTGACCTGCCTGTAATTAATTCTGTTTTTGCAAGATGGTTCTGTTTCTGAGACATAACTTGCTGTAATTTTAGATACAGTTGTATGCCTAACATGTTTACATTGATATAATATTTAGCAAGCCAGCCAGGATTCATTGCTTGTGAGATGTCTGAAAGGTCCTGTGTTATTCCCGGAGCACACCTCCAGTGGATATTCTTATGCGATGAGGTCCACGTTTTAGCGTATCAAGCAGATGGCGTGGCAGGTTTTCCTTTGCCTTTTGTAAAGAGCTATTGTATCAGTGGCCAGCGTGGTTAATATCTCACTATGCGGGAAGCTCAAGGACAAGCCCTGGCTCCGAGGGTGGGGAACGTGATGATTTGTGGTTTAGGTATTACAGAGTGTCTCCTGGCAGCATCTGGAGAAAACGTCTGGAGTGAGGCGGCAGACCCGTCAAAGGCGAGAGCTAGACGCGCGTGCTCATTCCAGTAGCTTCCTGCTCGGCTTCACGTTGACGGATTGCCGGTGCCATAAGTAATGAAAGAGAATGCCAGTTGTCAGTTTGAAAAGGACCATCTTTTACCACCAAGACTCAAGCGAATATCCGAGATAGACTTTTTACTGCTGTTTGGTACTTTAGAAGTCTCTTATCTGTGTGCATTTGATTCCTTTGGGGCCCACTCCCACATCCCAGAACTGGTCACTATTTTAGAGTGATTGACTCTTCCTTCAGAATTGGTCACTTAACAAAAAGAGTATCTAATGTAAGGTTGGTACCTCCTACTTTGCATCTTGTGAGGAAATTCTGCTCAGTGACCTGAGGCTGGGACGCCCCCAGAGCAATAATTTCATGAGTTTTATTGAGATGATGAGGGAAGCAAGCCCTGGGGGGTTTTAGAGAGGGAAGAGTGAAGATATCATATAGATCATCTCCTTGCCCTTCGGCCTTCAGGCAAGAGAACTCACAAGTCATGTGCAAAACAGTAGATGTGTCCATCCTATTTGGAAAGATCCTTTGATTTAAGTGCTTCATAGCCTGTTCTGTGTGGCTATCCCTGAGTGTATAATATTTTTCTAATCTAAAAAGGTATTTCTTATTTCCTTGGGATTTTATATAGATGATGTATTTTTTAGACGTGCTCCAAAATTAGAATGCGATAGGAAGAGAGTTTTTGAAAGCTTATCATACTGATAAGGAAGAGAATTCGGCACTCTATGGAGGTATAAGGAAAAGATGGTCTGAGAATCGCTGGTATTCAGACTAAGAGACTAGACTGTGGTTTGGGTTTGTTACCGATAATTTGTTATTGGAGTGAAAATTTCCAGTGTGTGTGTGTGTGTGTGTGTGT